CCGTCGGTGAGGTGTGTGCGTTATTCGAATTAAAGACTCCAATTAACGACAAAACAAACATTTATTAAACCAAACTAAACCTGACACAAGAGATTATTAACCGTTCACTTGGAATTGGAAGGACTGTGCCGAGAGAGAGTTCACATTAATTTTTGGATATCCATACCTCTCTTCAATGACGGGCTTGAGGTAGAATCGGTTTGGGGGGGTCGTCTTCCGCATGGGTCTCTGCCGTGGCTTGTAGACCGGATCAGTAGAGTATTCAACGGTAGATTATGGAGATGGCAATGATGCATCAGCTCCTGGACGGCGAAGTCGACCCCCTTCTGTGGTTGTCCCCCCTTTTATATCTTCGGGTAATCTTTTATCACATTATCTTTTTACACCAATCATAGATTTTTTTGGATAAGATCCTGTTGATTCAGATTTGGGTTCCGGAGGGAAAGGAAGTTACTCCGGGGACAGGAAGACGAACATTTGCCCCGAAAAAGGTTTGATCAAAGTGCGTCAAAAATGGAAGTTTCTTTGTTTTAAAAAAATAAATATTTGTCTTTATAATTTTTCGCTGTTTAGAAGATTTGAACTCGTTTACTTGATCCGATTTTCACATCAGCAGACAAATAATTAACAAAGATTGTTGGCTTGGCCTTTGTGTGCCAGGATGAAATTGTGGCAGAACAAATAGCACCAACCGAATTCTTCCATTTTTTCTGCTGAGTTGCAAGTTATTTATTTAGCCCTAAAGTATATAAATACTTAAGGTCATCGTTGTTGTGTTATTTACACTGGCTCAGTTAGTGCACTTCAGGCTTTGATCTCGTATGAACCTAGTTCTCAATCTATAGTGGTTAAAATTCATAATCTGATTTCCCATCTTCTTGCGAGAAATTTCTCTAAAATTTTGTTGTGTCCCAGGCCATGTAGGTATAAGAGGAAATGAAGAAGCTGATGCAGCTGCAAAGTCAGCAAGTGCTTCTCAGCATACAAAGTTTATTGAAGGAGGTGATTTGAAGGTAGTTGTTAAACGACTAGCAGAGAGATGGCAAAATATGTGGAATGCACCAGTCCACAATAAACTACATGGGATCAAACCTATGGTAGATAATTGGACACATAAGAAACCTTATGACAGGAGATCTGAGGCTATTTTTACTTCTCTGAGGATTGGACATACTTGGTTGACTCATCAATACCTTTTGAAGGGTGATGAGCAACTAGTATGCCAGTATTGCAATTGCTTTTTAACCCCTTAGTTCCCATTGACGAGTTAACTCGTCAAGCGTGAGTCACGCGGTGTCTCCATTGACGAGTTAACTCGTCCAAGTTTCAAAATTCGTTCCTGTTCTCCCTATAGACGATATAAGTCGACCAAAGCTTATTTTACCTTCTATTGGATGTTGTTTATGACATCAGAAAATTTTGAAATCATACACCCAATAAAAGTTTAAATTTTGGACCATTTTTTCGGTCCCCACCTATTGAAAGTGTATAGATAATCGAAAATTTTGTGATGTATTTGAATGTTTACGGTAACTGATGCACATCTGTCTAGAGACCGGTCTTCCCCTGCGATTTGTATGAGAATATCCCGCTAATGGCTATAAACAGCTGATCTCAAGGACATTACGCTAACTACACCGTACAGCTGCGCGTGTCACGTGATCCGTCGCGATTTTTTTCTATTTGAAAGACCATTCGTTTTTAAATAATATGCAGTAAAGGAAATTAAGTTATATGTTTAAATTTTTTAGAAATTTAATTCATAAATTGGTGTATTAAATGTTTTTTTAATTTTATGTGGCAGTTTTTCCTGTAAAACACAAAAAAACAATGTTAGGTTAATGTGGTTCAGATTAGCATATAATATAGGTAATAACAAGAAAATAAAAAAAAATTATCAGAAAATAACGTAATACAATCGAGTATTTGCAGTAACTAGTTCAGACGTNCCGTAAGTCTAATACAGCACTAATTTTATACATTTCTTGTGAAAGAAACACTTTTTATTCAACGGCCATAAAAATTATTTATATTAATGATGTCTCCAAAGGTCAAGTTATTTTTCTGCGAAAAATTATTTATCAGAAATTGCGGCCGCCGTTTCTTGTGCTGTTCCGCGACGAAGACAAGCTTTGAACAACGGGCGTAGTTGAATGGTGCACACTCAGTAAGTAATCCTATAATTTTTTGTTTATAGCATTGTTTATACAGATTATTCCCAAAAAATTATACGTGTTTTGGAAATGTTGAGTGGAATTAGTCTAGAATCGGTTAATTTTATAGAAGAAAACCTTTCAAACAGCCTTAGTCCGTAAAGTTCACACCTATCGGGCTGCGATTGGCTCATGTATTTAATCATTCCTACAACGTAAAATTCGATTAACGTGGAATGTATGTAAGCGTTATAGGGGGGTCTACTGTATATTTATTTATTTATTACATTTTTGTGTGTTGTTGTTTGTTTGTTCTTATTAAGTATATATTTGTTTTTGTTGTTGTTGCTGTTGTTTATTTATTTATTTTTGTCATATGTTTGTTATTTGTCATGTTTAAAATTGTTTACTATTTAAAGTAAATAGTAAACAATTTTAAACATGCCTATATGGTTTACAGCTTAGCCTATATGGCTCTTGTGCCAAAAAACAAAAACCAACCAACCAACCAACCGAGACCAGGCACAGACAGTATTTTGGGACAGGATGTTTGACAGATATTCTGGGTTAGAGGCCCAATCTTTATAATGTATTGGACTTTCTAAAAGTTACTAATTTGTATTAAGAAATTTAACTATTTATTTATTTTTCACTTTCTTGTGTGTTGTTCATTCTGATGAGGTATATAATTTTTATGTTTTTTTTTTTTTTGTTATAAAGAGTAGTAAGCCATTGTATAAATAACTATGTATTTATTTATTTATTTTCTGCTTTTTTGCATATTGTTTGTTTGTTCTTGTTCTTATTATGTATATACTCATTTGTCTTAGTTGTTATTATTATAATATTGTAAGATATGCACGCGGTGATTGTACTTCCAACTAGAAGATAAGCAAACAATACACATAGATGTTCCTTCTTCACCCGTGTTTATTTTCTTTTTTCAGGATTCTTTTAGAAATTTCGACACTCCTTATTTGATATTTTATATACAATTGCGGCAGTTAAGTTTAATCGTGCGACAAAAAAATATTTATTGCAGTACAAATTAAAAAGGGGAAACTATGAGTAATACTTAAAACTACTTACACTAAAAAGGAGGAAGAAAAGATAGGCAATAGGATAGCTGGAGATGTAATAGAAAAGAGTGGGTACCCAAAGTGTTGACGATCTTGGATTGATGGTGGTGATGGCTGAATTATGAAATCTCGGAGAAACAATTGGTCGGATAACTGTACCAGAGTCTTTAAATAAGCTTTTGACGATTCTTATATTGATATATATTTCTAGCTCCTCTGGATCACTAGCTTAGCTTAGGCTTATTGTCTCTATTGTCCTTCCGTCTTTCTATATTCTGCACAACCTGATTCAGTGCTAATCTTCTTTTCTGTTCCAGTTCTAGTACTTGAATGTCCATTGTTTTTAGGTAAGCTGCATTTAGTGTTTCGGTTTCGCTCAGGTTTCTTCTCCGATCAGATCATCAGAAATGGGATCATTTTGTCAATTTTGCCTTTGGCGTAGATTTTGGGTGCTCATTTTTGCTTTTATTTGATAAGCTCTACCTCTCACTACGGGGAAAAAAGCGTTGTTCTTTCATCTTATTTCTCTTTTGCCAATAAGCCTCGTTTCTTTCTTTCCTTCCTTATTTCTTTCTCTAATAAAAACCGGGAGGTCCTTTCCACACGTCTTAACTCTCCAATGTCTAAGCCAAAAAGTGAGTTCGGGTTCTCCTTTTTAGCCCTCAGGCTACTGCCTTTTCTTGGTTTTTGAAAGTAGGTTACCACCACCTTACCAGGAAAGGATTAGGGAAGAAGTTTCTGGAAGGCGATAGACAAAGGAGGAAAGAAAAAAAAAGAAACTAAGGGAATACTAATAATAAATATACAAAATAAGGCGTACGGCCACATACGCCCCCCCTACAAAAGTAATGTAACTTACGGTAATCTACTCTGCGATCTCATAGGTCGTACTGCCATTGTGGTGACTGGCTGGGCCTCATATCAGGATCCCTATCCTCTTCGAGTCTTTCAAGTTTGTTCTGTTGATCCTGGGGCTCAGATGGAGGGTGAATTGTTTGGTAGTTTGTGTCCATGAGTCCCATGCCTGATATATTCACAAATATCTTCATTGTTTGAATTGTTAATCGGTACTTTTTCTTCTGGTTTCGTGAGACGTCTGTTACACTCTCTTTTTTTTTGCGTCTTTATACATTGGAAAATAACATTGTTTTAATCAATCTACATGCATATATATACCTGTTATTCTTACGATTATCACCAATTTCTACAGTGATGGGGCCTAGTTTACATGTAACCTGATAGGGTTATAGATACTTCGCTGAGAACTTCCCAGAGTTCTTATTTTTACCCTTACAAAGTAACCATACTCGTTGCCCCTCTTTCCAATTGTTCATTTCCCTATTTCGGTTGATACGTTTTCGATTATTAAAATTCCATTTCCTCCTTAGTTTGTAGGCAGCTTCCTGTACTGCCCTTAATCTATCTCTCAATTCCATTCCGTGGGGATTTTCCAAGCTGATATTCTGCTGTTCTGCTGGGAACGCATTAGGGAAGTGAGGGTCGAAGCCGTATAATAAAAAGGCCGGGATTTGTTAGTTGATGCATGGGTAGCGTTGTTGTATGCAAATAGTGCTGGTGATATAAAAGAGTCCCAATTCCTATCATTCCCCTCTGAAATGCAAGCCCCTCGATGTGGGTTCCTGTCCGTGGTGAGGGGACCTCCCAGAGATGGTTTAGAAACTCCTCTTTACCATCCCTGGGATCTGAACCCACGTGTTTGCCGTGCGTGGTGTCCTGTATGCCGGAAAGGGGGATCCTGGTAGTTGAGGGGCAACATAGCGTCCCCAACACACTGCTTTGGCCCCTGCTTCGGATAAACGGGAGGCTCAAATCAGGCTCCGTTTGAGTCAATTGGCTGGTCGTTGAGTCATTCTTGACCTCGGCTTGGAGTCAACCGATCGATGCAGACCGGGTGGACATGTCAGTCTAGATGTGCTCTTCTTGACTGCATTGTGAGGGTATAGCTCCTGGGAAACCCTGGTGTGACGGTCTATGGAAGTACTCCATGTGACGGCATCCCCTTGTTGGGCCCCATGGTGGGTGGGGTCACTAGGAGCTGAATTTTTTCTGTAATTATGGATTCAAAAAATTCAAAAAGTTCTTGTGCACCAACAACAAAAACAAACAAAAAAATCACCACTAATCCAGCGTACTTAGTAGTGCACGCAACCGGAGAAAAACCCTTGGCTAAAGCTTCTCCTTTTTTGATTCAAAAATTGTTTGAATCGACCATTGGACAGTTGAAAAAAATACAAAAATTAAGATCTGGAGATTTACTGGTGGAAACAGCTTCCCCACAACAATCGGCAAAACTTCTGGAAACAAAGACCCTAGGAGAAATGGAAGTCACTGTCACCCCACATGTGAGCCTAAACTCATCACGTGGGGTAATATCTGAGATTGATCTGATATCTGAAGATGAATCAGATATTCAGATTGGCCTTTCAGACCAAGGTGTCACTGCTGTCCGACGCATTTCCATTCGTCGAGATGGCAAGTTGATTCCCACCAAACACCTTATTTTGACATTTAATAAACCGACTTTGCCATCTGTTATTACAGCAGGTTATCTGCGCTGCCCAGTTCGCCCATATGTTCCAAATCCGCTGCGTTGCTTTAAATGCCAGCGATTTGGACATTCACAAACATCGTGCCGAGGGAAAAGCATATGCGCACAGTGCGGAACTGAAGGTCACGAGAGTACTGAGTGTACCACTACTCCGTGCTGTGTGAATTGCAAAGATGCCCATCCTGCCTACTCTCGAAAATGCCTAGCATGGCAGAGAGAGAAAGAAATCCAGCGAGTAAAAACCATTAACAACATACCATACCCGGAGGCTCGGCGAATGGTCACTCAAAGCACAGTAGTGAAACAGAAAACATTTGCTTCTGTGTTGAAATCCACAATGTCATGTG